TGTTGCAGATATATCCATGTTATATGTTGATTATTGTTTTATAAATATTTATTTTAAAGTATTATCATTCATTGGAAAAAATGAGATAAAATGAGCATTTGGAGATTTTCGAATTTAAATATATGGCGTTAGATCTCAAAATCGACTTTATGTGGCAAAAAGAGCGTTCAACATCAACCGAGGATAATGGGGCATATTTCATACTTGATAAATTAGATGGTGTAATTCAATACCTATAGACTTATTTCATTTTTATTCATTTTTATGAAKAACTCTAATAGTTTTATTTTATTTTTAAACCTAAATTTTTARCGASCACATWTTATAATTTTATTTATTTTTATTAAAGCACTGGATTTTCCTTGAAATTCCTTTAATTTTKTTGATTCTTTATTTCAAGACTCAATTATTCTTAGATTTGATGTTCATATTTTTTTTTTATTTCTTTAACCAAGATATGAAGATTTGCAGAAATATATGCAAAATTATGTTTAAGGTCATAATTTTTCAYATTATTAATAATGAGTATATTRTATCAATGGATTATARAATATGAATTTTGATATTAATTCTATAAAGTTCTACGTTTCTGTCTTTGAAATTATTTTGTATATTGAAAACATTTGTAAATATGTAYTTATTTATTATAAATTTTACCAATAGCAACCGGAAACTTTCTAATACTCCTATTATAATAGTTACATGCTTCACGCTTATGGTTTTATTTATAATTAATAATTTATAAATAACTATTTTGATTTAATTAAATATAAGAATAAAGAAAAAAATATAAATTATGTTATCAAAAATAGTTATTAGTTAGTTAGTAATTTATGAAGAACGTACTATATACATATTTTGAAGGTTTAGATAAATATCAATAATACTCGTATGCTAACCTAACATAACCTACATACCTACTACAAATTATATAATATTATAATTTAATTGTATGATTTTTCTTGCTAATTTATTAGTTTATGTTTTAAAATTTTATATCAATATCATTTTAGATTAGTACGATGATTTTCGTATATTTTTACGTAGATGTACTGTAATGTATATTACATTACTCTACAATACTCTCAAAAAAGATGATAATATAGACTATAGAACTAATATTATTCGTGTTTTTTTTATAGATTATAAATTTATAAGATTTATACTCAAAATAATAAATAATGGTTCGTTTGCGAGAATTCTATACATACGTATTGAAGAAGAGTTAAAAATKTTAACGTAAACTTTGGCTTTCAGCTTTTGTCTTTTAACAGATATTAGTTGGTGGTATTTGTATTTTTATATCGTGATGTATATCAAACTATAGACTATATTTTTTTTATTGTGTTGAATTCATAAAATAAATTATAAATTCATTACGTGAAACTTTATGATTGTTGAAATACCACTTGTCTTACTTTTAGTTTTTATTGTAGTCCCCGTTCTAACGATAATATCTCCTCCGTCTTCTCTTCTCCATAATATCTTTGGTTCAGGATATCCTCGAGCTTTGCAAATCAATTTAGCTGAACCACCTTCAGGGATCATCATATCACCGGACGTGTCTTCATATATGATATCTGGTGGGATAACTACTTCTAGAAAAGCACTCTATAAGCAGATATAGTAAAGTCAATCAATTAAAAAAAAAAAAAAAAAACATTAATATGTTTATAATTATATTTTAGTAAAGTAAAGTTGCAGTCAATTTTACTTGGCTTTTCATTGGGTCCGTATTGACTTGACACATATAAGTGCCTCTATCTTCTCTTCTGACTGTTCTAACATTTAATGTCCATGTGTTATAATCGTTGTGTGTGACGGACAACCTTTCGTTGTTTGTGATAACATGTTCGTGAATAGCTAATATAGCCTTCGTATCTGCTTTAATCCAAGCCACCTGAGTACAATCAACCGTATGTTAGAAACATGGAGATATATGTAATTCGTAATAATTGAAATAATCCACAGCAATCATAAGTATGCGTTAATGGGTTTTTATGATGTAAATTTATTAATATTAGTAAATCTGTTTATCTAAGTACAAAATAATTTAATTTTTTTTTAGTTAATTCAAAATAAGAACGATGTTACTTTTACCTTCATACTTATGATTATTATTATTGTTTTACATTTCATAATATAATCATTTATATAATAATAATATTATTTGTMTACTCTAATAGTGCCATTTGTGCTAAACAAGTGATTTCTTCTATAAAACATATTTAAATATAATAGATAGGTAGTGCAGAAAATATACATGTGCTGGTATGTGCTGTATTATTTTTTTTTTTTACTAAAATTGAGGTTTAGTATTGGATCAAAAGAGACTGTATGCGATGTGATGGATTCCATTACGTAATGGGATTTGGTAGGGTGAATAGACGTGTATATTCAAATGTACAAACATACTGGAAATATTTCACTTTTTTTAACCTACTTACTGTTCTATTAAAAAATGGCCTTTTATAAACACTGTATGGATACGATTGGTTTATATGGAAGTATAGCGCGCATTGTATTAGGTGGAATAATGCAAGTATATTTTGTATAATGTTTATATCTAAACTCCTAATTTAAAATTGATTTACATACCTAAATATAATATAAATAATGTTAAGCTAAATAGTTCATATATAGAAACTTTTGAGATAATGTATACACATTTTTTTATATCATGACCTGTATTAAATATTATTTGTATTTCGTACTACTTATACTAGTAAAATTAATGTAATTAAATATTATATATCATTTCATTATTAAGTATATATTTTAAAACATGGAAATCAGAATATTTATGACTAAAAGCCAATAATTTACATAATATAATGATCAAAATTGTGATTAAAAACTTTAATTAAAATATGTTTAAGTTATTTAAATTTACTTACATAATATAAGTAAATCATTTTAATTTTCTAGTTTTTTTTAGAGATTTCTTAAACGTATACTTAATAAGTAATTACACATTGTATCTTAAATCTCTAAACACATTTCAATTTTAATAGTCAAACAATAAAATTAATATCCCATAAGGCAGAAATGAYCAAACAAGCTTAAATTGAGAACATTTTCTCCCGCTCTACAACATTTTTTAGTGTGTAGGTAAAGGTTTATTTAAGAGAATTGGAAAATTGGAGTTGACGTTTATTGTAATCTTAGGATATAATGTTTGCTGGTTTCCTAAAATTACTTTTTGGTCTCTTAAGGCATTGTACGCGTTGTGTCACATTAAAGCTTACGTTCTGTAGTCATAACTGAGCGTTTTGTTTGCGATGGTGTTCTAAGTAGGCAATCGAGGTGTCTTGATAAGTAAGGTAACTATTTCTTTATAATTTCTTTGTGTTTACTTATTTATCATTTATTAAAAAAAAACATTGGAAAAGTGCCCATTTAAATTGAAGTGGACGAGTTGATGTTTTTACGTTTACACAATTTATTTTTCTTGTGATCGACTTAAACTTTTTTAAGGCTTGAAGTTTTCGGAATTCAACTTGCGTTTATTCTTTGGATAGGACGTTGATGAAAAAAAGAAATTGAGAAATGTAGGAWTGAGAATTTCACYGGACTAGGTACAGGTAAAGGATAAGCTACCATCGTCTCCTCGTAATTCTTTGTTACATTTATCTGTTTATGTTATCGAAACATCAATGGCGGTGTTTTTGTACTCGCTGTCGACCAAATACAATATTGTGTAACTTTTACCCCTCCTTCATTTTTTATTTTTACTATGATGAGAAAAAGTATAAAGCTGGTTCGATCACGTTTTGTCCCTTGTAGAAGTTTTGGCAAGTTACCACCATATTAGAACTCACAGCACGAATGAAAATCGTTTTTCATTTCACCTTATGGACTATGTTAGTGGATATTCAATATAAGAGTTTTTAGACACGTACGTATGTAGATTTAATTAGTTTTCAAAGTTATTGAGTTACTAAGAATAACATTAAAAAGTATGTTTATTAAATAGTTTTACTATAAATAATATAAATCCAGTTAGAAAATTTATATATTTTTGTTTGTATGAAGTATAAGTAAAAATATACTATAGGTTATCGTTTTAGGCTCAATCTCAAATGTAAGAATGTTCCTACTTTTTACTCGCAGACACACAATGATTATGTATCCATATTTCTCCTTTTTCCTATATTGTCCTTACTAGAAAACACAAAGGGCAACATTGTATATGATACAATAGTATATTATTCTAAGTATAATATTATAGTAGACAGTTGCTTATAATCGATCAGTTAATAGTAGTTTAAGTTTGGTATAAGTATCAATACAATTTAACGACTGAGGTTGTTTAACATTTCATTATTTTTTTTTTTTTTTTTTTTTTTATTATTAATTAAAGGCTTCAAATACAATGTTTATTAGCCTACAATGGTTTATATGTTTAATTTATAAATTTCATTATTGTACCTATCCAACGACGGTGGAATATATTAAAAATATTATCTATAAACTTGTGAAATTGACAGTTTTTTTTAGCTTTTTTTGTCGGTTGAAAAATAATATACCATACATAGTTGTATTATTGTATTATTATTATTCACATTATATCAAATTAAATTGTTATTTGAATACGTAATATTTACAGGACATCCCAATGTATTGTGAAATACGTAAGGCTAAATTATAATTATCACAATATTATTGAAAAAAAAAGTAAAACCGTATTTTAAAATTTCTATTATGGTATTTATTATTATTACATAACTTTCTTTAACACTATGTCTCACGCAGATTATGACGAAAAAAACATTTACTTTGTCATGTCAAATATGAACACAACAGATTGTAATTTGTAATTTATCGCATCAGGCGTTATTCGATTTTTGAACAGCATGGTCAGATTATAAGAACTTGTCAAATTGTCAGAACAAAGTAGAAATTGCTTGCAGATACACGTCGCATTCGTCGTGTTAACGTACGGCACAATGCATTTATATGAATTATTATAATGTCGCATGAATTCGCATTCCCATTTGGCTATTTCAGTAATTTGGCGTTACCATCACCCGACTTAGCATCATCGATTGGTGTGAATACCACGATAATTAAGTATGCGTTATTTTATCTCCGATTTTCTATGATAATTATCTATAACAAGTAATGCTTTAATATTACTATGTAAAGTATAATTTATGTTATTACAACTGTATAAGTGTGGGCGGGCCTTCGTATTATTATAAATTATCATTATTAAATTGTTTACTTTTAATTTAAAATGTAATATTGAAAAGTGACAAATTGTATTTCGGAAAAAATATTAATGAATTAGAAGAACAATGTTTCAATAACTCGCCAGTACCTATTTCGTATGTCATTGATTATCTACTTCAGAAAAATGTCAAATTTCTGAGGTATAATAATTTAAAACTTTTAGCACAACATTATTCATATCTATTAAAATTAGAACTTAAAATAATACCAAATACAGTAAATATACATCAACAAGAAAATAAAAAAAAATAAAAATGTAATTAGTGCCTGTTGGGGGTGATAGGAGGGCAGGGTAAACGTGGGGCTTTTAAGAACAATGTTGGCGATAATTAGACCTTCCTAATTATGTGGACCTAGCTAAGTGCCTGATTGGTGTAATTATATCTTAATCTCCATAAAAAAATATTCGTTGAAAATTATGTTGAAAAGTTATACAATCTTAATATGTTCATAACTTGTTTTGTTGATTTTATATTGTATGAACATTGAACAACAATACTATACCTAATTTTAAACAACAACATACGCTCTCTAAAATGGCTTTTTTGTTTAATTTTAGGTAATATCGTCATACTATCACAATGGTGTATTTGTTGATGAAAAAAATATGTTCAAACGGAATACGTTGAAATTTGTCAGACTTAATGTGCGATGATTTGAAATGTTTTTTGAAAAGATTGGTGTGTAAGAAAATATGAACTATTGAAAAAAAATCGTAGACGTTAGAAAAAAAACTGTGGTCTGATCACTCTGCTGTGATATACGTGTATGCACATTTCTCAGTACCTACCTATTATTTAATAATATACGTTGTTCTTGGGATGGGTGTGTCTTGGATGTTGAGACTTGTGGGTCGACGGTCCCTGACAGAGGTTGACAAAACGAAGCACGTAAAACGGTTGTCATCGCTCTGACGGGACCGAATGTGTTTTCCGGCCAAACAACGATAAAATAACTATAAAATATAACAATGTACYTACGTATCGGCGTTTCTGAATCGCGTGCGAAAACGCCGAAAACTATTATATACTTAAATAGAATTTCGTGAGTGGTTTTCTTGCGTCAGTGCCGAATATTGGATGTGGGATTTTTTTCGATACTGATTTGCACTAAATACAAGTAATATACTCAATATTGTTCAGTAAAAATGATAGGATTCGTAAAAAAAAAAAAAATTAAATTGAAAATAACAGAAATATATGTACAAATTATCGTTTTTTTATAATATAATTTATAAAAAATGCAGTTTATGTTACAAAATTTTATTTTCATTATTTTCCTGATTTTTAATTTCTTTTTAGTTTCGAGAAAAGTTGTGAATTATTTAACACCGTAGTTAGTGTTATCAAACATGTGACACGCCGCGCCACGCGCATTATCGTACGGCTTGCCGAACATTTTCAGTGTGCCTAGTTATAATCACATTTTATTTTTTCCAAAYTAGAAAAAATATTAAAAATTATAAAATTAATGAAAATAAAATTTTGAAACTTCAATATTTTCAAAAAAATAAACGCTACGAGATGGCTATAGTTAATTTTTTGGAAATAAATAAATACAAAAATATATTTTTTAACTTTTTTACCAAAACGTTAAAATAAATTAAATATGAAATAATTTTTGTTCTTTCCCTGCGAGTCTTATTAGAAAATCAGAATTTCGATA